AGAGATACAGTCACAGCTTTAAACAGCACACAGCAACACCAGGAATTAAAACAGCTGAGAGCGTTCAGTCCTGCAGCAGTGTAACTCCAGTGCCTGGCATCTACCCTGGCACCGCTGGGAGCAGCCTCCCTACCTGTGTGATACTTGTACGTGGTGTCCAGTGGCCCCTCTGGACCTATTCCACCAAAAATGTACAAGTGCTCCTGGAACGCTGCCGAGGAGTGGGATGCCCGTCCTCCCGGGACGTCCCCGGTGGCCGGGATCTTCTCCCAGCTCATGTCAGCTGGTGCAGGAAACAACACGGCTGCAGTTACGCATTACACAAACCCCACACATTTCCTTGATTTAAACAAAGAAGGTAATACTCAAAGCACTTAAGAACTAGTATTTCAGGAAAAAATGTCCCCCCAAATCAAAGCACATCGCTCACAGGTGCTGCAGCACCTCCCTCCACACTTACTGGTATCAATGCAGAACAGGTCATTGTAAAACACATCTCCAGCTAAACCCCCATGGATGAAGAGTTTGGTCCCAACTGCAACCACGGCGTGTCCCTGCCGAGGAGAAGGGGGATCACCACGAGTCTCTGGCTGGGACCAGCTCAGGGTGGCTAAAAATGGGAGTGCATGTGCATTAGGAAGAAAACTCTGGAAATTCTACAGACCAGCAACTGGGTCTGAATTCCCAGTGAGCACACGAACGTAAGGGCCTGTCACAGGAAGAACAGCCACCACCCCGCGGGACTCGCCCCCAGACAACAATCCCAGCCCAGAGCAGCCCGAGGGCAGAGCTCCATCCCGCAGGGGGAGGTACCTGTGTCGAACACGTGCAGCCGCTGGTCCTTCACCGGCTCTGCCCCCTTGTCTCCACCGCCGAACACGAACAGCCGGGCCCCGACGGCCGCCGAGGACGTGTGGAATGTGCGAGGCTGTGGCTGCTCCCCCCTCACTGCAGGGCTCTCCCACGTTCCTGTTTCTAGTTAAGACATTTGATTAACCGAGCAACCAGTGCGGGAGCAGAGGCCAGCCCCGCTCCGGGCCCGGCGCTGGGGCACTCACCGGGGTCCAGCGCCTGAACGCAGCTGCGGTTCCCGGCGGGGTGGGCTCCGCCGAACACCCACAGGCGCGGGGCGCGGCCGGCGGGCAGGAACGTGGCGTGCTCGTAGCGCGGCCGCAGCCCGCGCCAGCCGGCGGGGACCCAGCGCAGCGGGGCTGTGGAGGGGACAGGCAATCGGTCCCGGTCCCGGTCCCGGTTCCAGCCCCGGCCCGGCCCGGCCCTCACCCAGCTCCACGAAGTGCGCGTCCGCGAAGGCGCCGGCGGGGTCGGCACCGGCCAGCAGCAGGACGCGGCCGGGCAGGAGGAGGCAGCCGAGTCCCACGCGGCCGCGGGGCCGCTCCCCGCAAGGGCTCAGCCGGTACCTGCGGGGCGAGGGCGGCGCTCAGCGCGGGCTGGGCCGGCCCGGGGCCCGCCGGTTCCCCCGGCCGCTCGGCGCTGTGCCCCCATCATGCCCGACGCGCTCAGCGCTGTGCCCTCATCACCCCCGCCGTGCCCCCGCCGTGCCCGCCGCGCTCACCACCGTCCCGGGCGCGGTCTCCGCCCCGGCTGCAGCAGCGGCAGCGCCCGCGGCGCCATGGCCGCCGCCGGGGGCCCGGCCGGAAGTGGCGCCGGAAGTGCCCCGCGCTTCCGCCCGCGCCCGCGGCGCGCTCCGCCGGCCGGAAGTGGCGGGCGGGGCCCGCTGAGCCCGAGCCGAGCCAAGATGGCGCCGCTGGACCTGGACAAGTACGTGGAGATCGCGCGGCTCTGCAAGTACCTGCCCGAGAACGACCTCAAGGTGCGGCCGCGGCGGCGGGGCCGGGGCCAGCCGGGGCGGGCCGGGGCCGGGGCCGGGGTGGGCGCTGCCGGGCGGGCCGGAGCGGGCGGTGCCGGTGGTCCCGGCGCTGACCCCGACACTGCCCCGCTCCTCCCGCAGCGCCTCTGTGACTATGTTTGTGACCTGCTGCTGGAGGAGTCCAACGTCCAGCCCGTCTCTACGCCCGTCACTGTCTGCGGGGACATCCACGGGCAGGTAAGGCCGGGCCGGGCCGCTCCCGGTGCAGCCCCGGGCCGGGGCCGGTGCCGGTGCCCGGTGCCCCCTCACGTCGCTCTCCCCCCGCAGTTCTATGACCTGTGCGAGCTGTTCCGGACCGGCGGGCAGGTCCCCGACACCAACTACATCTTCATGGTAGGTGCGGCCGGGCCGCGCCGGGTTTGACAGGGCTGGGGGGGAAATCCCGGGGGGCTCCCGAGTCCCGGGGCCGCTGCTGGTTCCTGCCCGCCGGTTGTGCCGCCGGGAGCCCGGGGCTGAGGCACAGCATCCCGCCCTGCCCGGTGTCCCGGGTCAGCTCAGGACAGCGGTGAGGGGAGGGAGTGCCTGTGGGTCCCGCAGATCCCCTGCCCTGCAGCGCCGGGTTCGTGTGGCACTGAGGAGCGGCTCTGTCACCGGGCCCTTTCTGGGATGTGTCACCGGGCACTTTCCCTGTGACTGTCACTCTGTGAGCCGCTGTCTCTGCCTCCAGGGGGACTTTGTAGACCGAGGGTATTACAGCCTGGAGACATTCACGTACCTGCTTGCACTCAAAGCCAAGTGGCCTGACCGCATCACGCTGCTGCGAGGCAACCACGAGAGCAGGCAGATCACCCAGGTGTACGGGTTCTACGGTGAGTCCTGCCCGGGAAGCACGCTGCACGGACACGGCGCGGGGCTCTGGGGGCTGGGTGGGACACAGGCTGCAGCGTTGTCATGGTGCTCCTGAAATGAAATGTGTTTGAGGCAGATCTCGTTGCTCTTTTCCTCTGGCACACGGGGTTTCTGCTTGTGTCGTGGTGCCACGTGCAGTGGCACAGGCAGAGCGTGAGGTGCTTGCTCCCTGCTGCTGTGCTGGTCCTGGGCAGCAGCAGCAGGACCAGCACAGGGCTCGTGTGACACACCTGAGCGCGCAGGTTCTGCCGGCAGTGTTTTCCCGAGATCAAGAGGAACAAACCCCTTCTCTCCAACAGACGAGTGCCAAACCAAATACGGGAACGCCAACGCCTGGAGATACTGCACCAAAGTGTTCGACATGCTGACGATAGCAGCTGTAAGTGCAGAGGCCAGGCCGGCAGCACTGGTGGGCGCTGCAGGCCGTGAGCTGCTGCAGCTCCCCGCAGCGCTGCTGAGGGCTCTGTGTCCCTTCCCTGCAGCTAATAGACGAGCAGATCCTGTGCGTGCACGGAGGCCTCTCCCCAGACATCAAGACCCTGGACCAGATCCGGACCATCGAGCGGAACCAGGAAATCCCTCACAAAGGCGCCTTCTGCGACCTGGTGTGGTCAGACCCGGAGGACGTGGACACGTGGGCCATCAGCCCGCGCGGGGCGGGCTGGCTCTTCGGGGCCAAGGTCACCAACGAGGTAATGCTGCTGCTCAGGGCCACGCAGCCCGGGGCTGGGGATGGGGGAGCCACGGGCTCAGCTCAGGGTGCTGTTGAGTGCACCCAGGGCACTGCAGGACACCGAACTCCCCCGTCACGCCTCTGCCAGTAACTCCTGGTGGGGAAGTTTGGCTTGTGCCAGATGGGAAAAATGAGCCACTTGAACCTAAAAGCACAAATGTAACTGCCAGATGTACTAATGCCTATCTTGCTTTTGAAAAGTCTGATGTGGTGGGACTCACTTGTGTTCCTGGGCTGTCTATGGAACAGTTTCCTAAGGATCTAGGAGAAAAATACCATTTTTAAAGCAATTCTTGAGTTAATTTTGTTGTGTCTGCACTGAGCAGACTCCTCAGGGCTCTACACACTGGCCTTGCCGGGCTCTGACCTGGCCACACTCAGCTGCATTGTCGTGTGGCCCTGGCACAGCATGTTAGGAAGGCTTGAGCCTGGGGACAGCACAGCTCTGGGTGTCACGCTGTTCCTCAGAGCTCGGGTGTCGCCACCCGTGTTTCACAGGGGTTTCACAGGGGTTTCACAGGGGTTTCACAGGGGTTTCTCAGCGCTCTCACTCCTCCTGTTGTGTTCTCCGTGCTGCTGTGTGCCGTCAGGCCAGGAGCAGACGTGGTGTGGGCAGCAGCCGCTCGGGCCACGCTGATTTTCCCTTTCCCTCGCAGTTTGTTCACATCAACAACCTGAAGCTGATCTGCAGAGCGCACCAGCTCGTCCACGAAGGATACAAATTCATGTTTGATGAGAAGTTGGTAACGGTATGGTCAGCGCCCAACTACTGCTACCGCTGCGGGAACATCGCGTCCATCATGGTCTTTAAAGATGTAAATACAAGAGAACCAAAGTTATTCCGCGCAGTTCCAGACTCAGAGCGTGTCATTCCTCCCAGGACAACCACGCCGTACTTCCTCTGAGCCCTCGCCCGCCTGCTGTCACCTCTCCCTGTCCTGCCCCTTTTCAATATACTTTTTATTGAGCACTTTGCTGCTGAAATGCTGCCTCTTGCCTTTTTTATTTTTAAATTATCTAAATTTATTGTGTATTATGGTGTCTGTAGCAAGTTTTTTTTTCCCCCCGTCCCTAGATTAATTTCAGAGTATTTGTAATATGTCCTTGAGATTTGTACTACTGCATGTAGTCCTCGCCTAATCCTGGGTTAGATGAACCGATTCCTTTAACCACCGCGCTCCGGGAGCCGCTCGGGCCCGTCTCTTGTTCAGCTTTTTGTTTTTGGTAAGTTTTAAGAAATTTCAGCAGCAAAGTCAGCGCGCGGCGTGCGGCGGGGCCGGGGCTGCCCGTGCTGCGTTCACGGCGCAGGACCGAGCCGGCGTTTCCGAGTGTTACGTGGATCCCAATAAAGCGCTCCAAGGGCTGTTCCGCGTTCCCGGTGTGTCCGTTCCGCTCGGGATCCCGGCTGGAGCCGCAGCGGCGGGATGTGAACATTAAACCGCGGTTGGGATTTTCCCGGGCTGTGCCGTGTTTGTCCGGGCGGGGCGGGCCGGGGCGGGGCGGGCCGGGGCGGGGCGCGCTCCCGTTCCGGTTCCGGTGCCGGTGCCGGTGCCTTTCCGCCGGCGGCGGGCGGCGGCCATGGCGCGGAGCACGCTCTCGTCCCGCTTCCGCCGCCTCGACATCGACCAGTACGACGAGAACCGCTTCGTGGAGGAGCCCGAGGAGGCGGCGGCGGCCGAGCCCGACGCGGGCCCCGAGGTGGAGGCGCTGCTCAGGCAATATCCTTTGGGCCGGGGGTCCCGGGGGTCCCGGGGAGCGGCCGGGGCGGGGCCGCGCTGCGGGGCCGCGCACGCACGTCCCGTTTGAGTCCTTGACCGCCGCCGCACGGGCGAGGCGCTCCGCGCCTTCCACGCCGCCATCCGCAGCTCCCCGGGCAGCAGCCGCAGCCAGGCCGTGAAGGTACGGGCCGGGGGACAGCGGCGGGGCCGGGGGACAGCGGCGGGGCCGGGGGGGACAGCGGCGGGGCCGGGGGACAGCGGCGGGGCCGGGGGGGACAGCGGCGGGGCCGGGGGACAGCGGCGGGGCCGGGGGGACAGCGGCGGGCCGGGGGACAGCGGCGGGGCCGCTCCGAGCGGCGGGCCGGGGGACAGCGGCGGGCATGGGGGGACAGCGGCGGGCCGGGGGACAGCGGCGGGCATGGGGGGACAGCGGCGGGCCGGGGGACAGCGGCGGGGCCGGGGGGACAGCGGCGGGGCCGGGGGGGACAGCGGGGGGACAGCGGCGGGGCCGGGGGGGGACAGCGGCGGGCATGGGGGGGACAGCGGCGGGGCCGGGGGGACAGCGGCGGGGCCGCTCCGAGCGGCGGGGGCCGGGGGACAGCGGCGGGCCGGGGGACAGCGGCGGGCCGGGGGACAGCGGCGGGGCCGGGGGGACAGCGGCGGGGCCGCCCCGAGCAGCCCCGCTGCTTTGGGCACAGCCCCGAGCGTGTGCTGGCACGGGCATCCCGCCGTGTTCGCCCCTTCCTCCGCTAACCCCAGCTCTGCTCACCGCGCTCACCCAAACAACCCAGCCTGGAGCGCGGCCATCTCTTGCCAAACACGAGTCTTGGGATCGTTTCCAGCTGCTCTCGTCCTCACATTTCTCTCTTTGCCTTGTCTTCCCAGGAGCAGGCCCAGGGAACGATGCTTAAAGTCCTCACATCTTTTAAAAGCAGTGAAATAGAACAAGCGGTGAATTCCTTAGACAGAAACGGTGTTGATTTGTTAATGAAGTACATTTATAAAGGATTTGAAAAGCCAACAGAAAACAGCAGTGCAATATTACTCCAGTGGCATGAAAAGGTACGTGTTGGGGCACTCTTGGCTCGCTCGCAGGGTCCTGGCAGTGGTTTCAGGAGAGCCCCTGAAGAGAAGCAGGTGGGGCAGGGCCTCAGCCCTGAGGAGGGATGTTTCCTTTTATCTTTGCTCACTGTTTCCTTTCACCTTTGCTCTCTCTGAGCCTGCATTCACAAAGCCTTTGCCTGTATTTCAAACCTTACCCTCTACCATGGGAAGAGGAAACTTGCAGCAGGGAGTTCTCCTTGTGCTGCCTTTGGCCCCCAGGGTGTGCAGGGGCTCCAGCAAGGAGAAGGGTGGCAGTGGAGATGAGATGGGATGGACGGGGCAGCTGCAGCTTCCTCTGGGGCCGAGCTCGGGGGTCACGCTGGCAGTTTGCATCAGCTGAGTCACAGGGTTTAGCAAACCTGTTTGGTTTGCCCAGGAGAGGATTTTGAGGTCTCCAAAGATTCCAGTGGGACCAGCAGGGGCCTCTTTCGTTCCTCTGGAATGTCAGCTGTGAAACAGGGAGTGTGGGATGTGTTCAGCAGCTGATACTGGAACTTCTTCCCTGGTGTGATGGGCCCAGGCACATTCTGGGTTGAGGCACAGCCCAGAAGCAGCTGCTGGGTGCCCCTGCCCCCGGGCAGGAATCCCAGTGAAGTCTTCCCCCCCTGCAGGGGCTTTGGCTGAAGCCCTGGCTGTCAGTGCTCCTAGGAAAACTGATCCCTGGGCACGCTGCAGCTCCCTGTGCAGGGCAGCTGCTGTGAATGCCACTGTCCTTTCCCGAGGTGCAGAGCTTTTTCCTGCTGTACAAAAAGCTGGTGTAGCGTGACTCCAGCTATTGGCTGCTGTCACCAGCTTTGCCAGGCCTTGACAAGGGAGGAGAGAATTTCTCGGGACAGCAAAGAACATGTTTCTGCTTGGTTTTTTTTTTCTTTTTTTCCTGTTGTTTCCATTGAGGTGCTTTCAGGTCAGCGTGGGAGGTGACACAACACCACCCTGACTGGTACTCGGAGCGTGCAGGGACATGAAAGGCATCTCACGCTCTCTGTTGTGAAAGGAACAAGGCAGGTCTGAGTAGGCAGGGTTTGAAGCCTGGTGTCCTGCTTTGTGGCAGTACTGGTAGGATGAGTAGCTTGCTCAGATCGTAGTCAGCTCAGTGGTAGCACCAGTCTGTCCTCTGGAAAAGGCCTGTGGCAAGTCTGGTAGCTCAGGAGCTCTCACCTGCCAGTCCTGCTCCAGGTGGATGCTTTGCATTTGTCTGGTCGTGTTCCCCAGCTCCACGTCTCGCTCTGCTCTGGTACTCTGCAGAGCAATCTACTGGACTGTGGTTGCAAAGTAAACGCCCCACTTCCAGCAGTCAGCTTAAAAACTTTTTTTTTTCATAATCACCTCCATCTTCCAGACTTCAGAAGGAAACACTGTTCACATTGAGGGACACAAATGAAACTGAAGTGAATCCTTCCTCCTGCTCCTCAGGGATATGGGAGGCGAGACATTCTGCTCTGTCGGTGACTTGCAACACTGGAGATGGTTAGATTGTGGAGAATGGTTAGATTGTGGAGAATTACAGTTTCCAGTTTTGGAGAAGAGCCATAGTCCCTTCTGTGCTGAACTCTTTGGTGTTTGTTCTGTGTGGGACGTGGTGACTCTGTAACCTCTCTCCTTTCCCACAGGCACTGGCAGTAGGAGGCCTGGGCTCCATTATAAGAGTTCTCACAGCAAGAAAGACTGTCTAAAGACTGTTAACTTGGACAGAGGTGACGGTCAGGGTTGGACTCGGAAGAAGGAATAAGCTGAAATTACACTGGTCCATCTTTATTAGAGATTGCAATCTACTGAAATCCTACAGTAACCTCCTCTTGGAATGCTTTTAACCTTAAAGGTGGGGGAAGAGTAAAGGTATTCCTGCATACTCCGACTATCACATACAGGAGCCAAGACATGCTCCTGCTCCCTTTAATGGGCAGGGAGAAGGCACACTCCTGCCTCCTCCTGCTGTAAGTGAACAGGTATTTCAGATGCTGCTTTAGCCAGGTGTGGTGGTACAAGCTCCCGTGTGTCCTGCTTAGTCCCAAGGTAGCTGTGTCCAGGCTGGGATCCTGCAGCTGAGGGTGGGAGAAGGGCTCTTAGAACGTGTGGGCGAAGGACTCTTGGACTCTGGCGTTGGGTTAATGTAAAGTGAAGTGCCTGCTGTATCAATAAAGCTCTTGGATCACGTGAGTTACATTTATTTCCAGCTAAATTGTAAGTCTGACACTTACTCCAAAGCAGGCCTGCAAAAACCCAGTCCAACCCAGTGTCCACCTTTGTAGGACTGCTCCTAACTCCAGCTACTTAGAGAATTTGTCCTCAAATCCAACTCTGTCCTGGATGCAGGAGTGAGTTCAGCTGTAACAATCACGACTTATAAGATGCAGTGAATAGAACACATAGTAAGCATGCCGAGTTTGATTTTTATGTTCTTATCCATGCTGAAAAGTCGAGCAGATACTCAAATCAGAACTTGTGATTTAAGTACTGGTGTGTCCTCTGCCCAGCAGGGCACAACTCCTGGATCCATGGCTGTCTCCTTGTCCCTCTGGCTCGGGCAGGGGACACAGACCCTGCCCTTTGGCACGGAGGAGCAGCTGCCTGGGGAGCCCCAGCTCCACCCAGCCCTTGCTTCCAGCAGCTGCTCAAAGTGCAGCAGCAGCTGGTCCTGCTGGGAGGTGATTGTGCAGTGGCACAACTCCCTGTGAGAGGCCTTGGTGGCACAGCTGGCACACCCATCCTCACCCTGGGCAAAGGTGGGGTTTGGGTCATGGTTTAAAAGTCAATTTTAAATTGCTTAAAGCATCCCAGGGGAGATAACCAGAACTATAAAAAGACAGAAATCAAATTAGGGGTTTGATCCAAAATGTATTGCACCACAAATTTCATAGTGTTTCATCATACAATCCATATTTACAGCACAGAAGGAAAGAAATCCAATGGTGATAGAAAGGATTATGTATAACCACTGTTCTGAGAAAGTGCATTAGCTTTTTAATACATGTATACACACCAGTCTTGCTCTGATACCTAACGAAAATTCAACACTTAAGAACTAGTTTATGGTAAGCTGATCCTTTATGAGCTTTGGGATCTGAAACTGAAGTTGTTAGTGAATATATAACCTAAGATTTTACTTTGTCACTCCAATCCAGGCTGCCTGTCCTGCTTTCCTTACTGTTCAGCAGTAACCTTTGAAGCCAGGATCAGCATCAACCCAACAGTCATTCAGCAGGGAGCAGTGGGAGTGAGGGAGTCCTGATCCCTGGTCCCACAGAAACAGGACAGAGCAAAGGGTCATTAGAAAGGAAAATATCTCCGAGAATAAAATCTTCCCACAACCAACAGGGTTATTCCATCCCGCTGTATCTCAGTAAAGAAACAATTTAAATGTACTTTTTGATTGCCTATTTTCACAGTAGAGCAGGGCTGAACCCTTCCATGCTCTATCCTGTCTGCAAATGCCATGAATCTGGTTACTAAAGACTGTTTGGACAAGCTTTAGTTGGTTTTCTTACCTTCAGCCAAATCCAAGCTGGCTCTAACTGAGGAGCAGCACCTGTGCCCAGGAACAGCTCCTGGGAGTACCTGTGTCTGGGGTGGGGCTGGCTGGGAGACCAGCAGGGTCTGGATCAGCACATTCACCTGCTGGATCTCCCCTGGAGAAAGCTTGAATTATCCTGAATATATTTAACAGAAATACGAACTTCCTTGTAAGAGAAGTCCCAGAACTGCAGCATGCTCACTGAAATCCACACGTGTGTAGATTTTTGGAAATAGGTCCCAGTTTTCGGAAGTCAGACTTAGTGCTGCTTCCCATTTGGATCCAGATTTCGCAGTGGTGTTAATAAGTCTGGGCAAAATTGTGCTTCCAGGGAAAAAGTGCCACCTTGGTCCCCTCTCCTTATTGTATTAGGAAAACAAGCTGCTGGAACCACAACTTGTTCACTAAGAGTTGAATTTTGCCCTCAAAGCCCTCATGAGCAGCATTTCTTTTACCCCAATAGTCAGGACACAGTTAACATATTCATAACAGCTTTTAAGCATCAGTATTTGAAGTACAGAAAACCACAACCAAAGAGGCAGATCCTGGTTATAAGGATTTGTTGCTAGCAGACTTCAAAGAAAAAAAAATGAATCAAAATGTTTAGTACCAGCATTCTCCACCCTTTGTAACTAGATTTTTATTTTTTTAAAATAAAAGGTATTTTGTGTGGATTTACAATACCTGGAACTCGGCTTTAAAAATTTAAAATGGTTTCCTACCCCTTTTCCCACTGCTAACAACCCATGGAACAGGATAATGGATTAGTTTTAAAGGCGACTGAGGATTAGGTACTATAATTAAGACCATTTTAAATATTATTTTTCTTTAAGAAAAGTAAAATCAGACAACTCTAAAGTTGTGCTCTCAAATTAAATAATCATCAACATGCAGCCTTGAGGGCTGCAGGCCAGGATAAATGCACCTTAAATTACACAGTGATATGAAAAAATGCCAACCATTAGTTAATGTCAGTATTAGAAGGCAAGGCAGAGTTCTTTTTTGGTTAAAGCTCCTGCTCCTGTCCTGTGAAAGGCTTTGCCAACTATGCCACTCTCAACACTGTTCTGCCAAAGCATTTTTCATTGCTGGCTTCCCACAGCCAGACAAGCAGCTTTGCTGTGCCCCGAGTCTCTGGAGCAGCAGCTGGAATCACCATCCCACAAGAGCCTGGACTGGCAGCGAGGGCTCAGAACCCTGTGGGGCAGGAACCCAGCAGTGATGAGCACAAGGAGCTGCTCCCATCACAGACACCGAGGAGATCCCCCACTGCAGCCCAGAGCTGTTCCAGTCTGTAGTGAAAATGTCTCCTCGCACAGTATTAGTTTTGTAAACAGAGCCAGAAGTTCTTGTACAAAATACTGCAATGACAGTGATTAAGACACACCTGGAGCAGTGTGTTCAGCATTCTTTTCACAGAAAGAAGTGCCTGGATACTGCTTGCCACCTTCAGGTTCCCTTAAGGCCACAGAGTCCTTGGGCTGGAGATAGACGGGCGGATGCTGCCTTTGGGAGACGGCTTTGACCCAAACCAGGACATCTGGGACACAACAGCACAGCACACATCACACAGGGGTCACACTTAAGGGGTGAAAAATGATCAATATGGTACACAGCCATGTTCTCATCGTTTGAGGGAAGGACCCATTTATAAATCAGATTGCTGCAGACTCCAGGCTGAAGAAGTGGAGGCAGCTTCACACAACCAGATCTGGAAGGAGCAGCACCCACTTCCCATAGGTGAAAATGACTGAAGATTATACTTACATATATTCATTTAAAATAATTTCAAATTAGAACTCTACAGTCATTCAAACACGGTGCCTTTAGTCAATGCAGCATTAGTGTTCCCTGAACGACAGTGAGCAAATCTCTTCATCTGCAGACTGAACATCCCATCTCCCTGGGTGGGCAGGGATGATGCAGGACCTGGAGCTGAGGCAGCACTCACTGTTGAACGTTCCCTAACCACCACACAGCCAGGGCCATACAGATCTCAGCTAAGCCCATGGAAAGGACACAAAGATCTTGGTATCCGAGCCCAGTGTCGAAAGGACAAACCCAGAATTAGGCTCCTGCTGTTAAACACTAACTGTTCGGGCAAGGAGCTTTCAGCTTCTCCCCACAGATCAAGTCCACTGGGCAAAGCTGTCCTCCAACTCCTCTGAGCACCAGAAAGCTGCTATTTCCCTCACTGAAAGGGACAATTCCTGGCATGCAGGCAGTCAGCTAAAATTTTAATAATAAATCACACTTATTATTGTGGCTAACATTTGAGAAAAATACACTTTTCCTAATCTCCCAGCATCTAGAAATTTTCGTTGTCTCATTAGAGACTACATATGGCACAGAACCCTTACCTTGTACTCCAGAGTTTCTTTGAGCATGTTTTCTTCCTCTTGTGAAAAATTCAGTAACACAGACACAGCTTTAATGAGATGGAATGCCTGAAAGAAACCACAGAGCTGTGTTCCAAACACATTGCTGTCATCTATTTTGTTTTATTGTCCCCACTGTACACTTTTTAATTGCAAAATTATGGAATTGGCATAAAGCATCCTTAGGAGTTGACAGGTGGCAATTTCTAGAGAAAGACAGATGTAGAAAGAGAAGTGGCACCTTTACCTCAGATTCCCTGCAGGACATGAACTTCAGTACAACATGTTTAAGGTACTCAAAGTTTATCTCCCTCGAGTCGTTCAAGTCAGAGTTGTTGGTGACAGTCACAGTAGCATTAGGCACTTCAGAATTTGCACGTAGCTCAGGTACCTCACTGTCAGGCCTTATTTTCTACAAAAAAAACCAAAAAACAACCAGCAGAAGAAAAAGAGAAGCACATTGCAGATGCTGATAGCTTGACAGTGGGAGGGGTCTGGGTTCAGGATATTTAAAGAGGGCTGTACCCTCTTTAAGAGGTGGGTACAAACTGGGCATCAACAGCCCCTCATCCTTCATGGGTCACAGCAGAGAAGTGTCTCCAGCTCTCCCTACACTCAAGGACAGGAGCTGGTTGATGTCAGTGTTCTGTGTACGTTACCCAAACCAGCCTGGAACTGTCTCCATGTGGAAATATCCCTTGGTAATTATCTACTACCACTAACCTGCTTTGAGCCTTTCAAATGTGGGCTATCTTCAGAATAATGTTCAACATCAGAACAAAAATAACAATTTTAAAACTTCTGTTGATTTTCTTTTAAATAGACTTTTTTTCGTCTTGGAGAGAGAAACCATTGCAGAGGGATGCAATAGGAGTTAGCAGTCAAGCTTTTGGAATAGCAGTGCAAGTACCTGCCAGCAAGTGCCACCTGAAGAGACTGAAAACACACAACCCTTACCAGCTCTTTCTGGAGAGTTTTCTTGAGTTCTGCCATTCTTTGCTGAAGTTGCTTTATCATCTGTAAGCACAGCAAAGGAGAGTTTAACACAGTATTCATTGTCAGGACCCCCAGGTATCTGGAAAAACCCATGACAGACAAGTACTGAATGAAATAATAATTAACCAACACTGCCAGCTGTGAAGAAGCAACCTGAAAGCCTTTCCTTGCCAGCTGCACACAGCAGCAGGCATGTGACAGGACACTTGGGCTTTCATGTGACAGTGCCATGGAACAGAACTGAATGCACTCAGAAGGGCTCTGCAGGAAAG